AGAAGAGGGATGTTATTCTGCCTTCCACAACAACCGCATTTGCTCAAAGAAGAGAAAGCTTCAAGGGAAACGTAAAATGTGTGTGTGTGTGTGTGTGTGTGTGTGTGTGTGTGTGTAATGAAAATACATTGTGCTAAAATTTGTGGATACAGCCATTATAAATACTTGTAATAAAAAAGAATAAAGATCTCAATTCAGTAATCTAAGCTCCCACCTTAAGGAACTGGAGAAAGAAGGTCAAATTAAATCCAAACAAGCAGAAGGCAGGAAATAATAAATAGTAGAAATCAATGAAATCGAGAACTGAAAAATAATTGAGAAAAATCAATGAAATCAAAGCCAATTCTTAGAAAAAACATAAATAAAATTGATAAATCTCTAGTGAGCATGACCAAGAAAAAAAAAAAAGAATACATAATAAGCAATATCAGGAATAAAAGGAAGATCAGTACAGATGTACCGACACTAAAGAATAATAAGGAAATATTATGAAGAACTCAAATTAGAACCAGAAGTAGAATGAGGAAAGCCTAATAGTGATAAAAGGGTATGGGAGGAAGCTGAAGCCAGAAAAGAAAAGGAACTGATAGGTAGCCCTGAGAATGAAGTTAATGACTATGAATTTGTATTGATGCACAAAATCCAGGTGGCTCAGAGAATTTTTCCAGTTTACTTGAAAGGTGGTGTTCCGTGATGATACAGTAGAAATATAAGGATATAAGACAATAAAGCATGTTGGTAAAAGAAGAGTCTAGTTGCTCAATATGGAGGCCAAGCCTGGTGATGAGGGAAGGCAAGGGTATGAGGGAGTTAGAGGTAGGGGGGATGGAGAGACCGAGAGAGGGCTGATAGATGGACTGGGGATGGGGGTGAATTTTCTGCATTATAGCTCCTCTGTAAATGTTCTTACCTCAGCAGCTGTTCTTGGTTCAGCCTCATGGGGTTTACACACAACCTGGAATTTAGTCTAAATGATTCAAGGGAGGGACACATACGCAAATAGGGTTGGGGAGTCAGCAGCAGATGGAGGCTCAAAGAATTGGAGGTTTGTACAAAAGAAAAAAAAAGATTTATTGAAAACGAAGGCATAAGAGAGCTGGTATTTGTGGAGGGTTGTTCATTTATTTTACATCTCCCATGTTCTAGGCATTATTCTGGACACAGGGTATAATGAATGGTGAGCAAGGCAGACAGATCTTTACTACCATAGGGTTTATGGCTGTAATACTGATAAATAAATAGGTAATTGTAATATTTAATGATATATGCTAGGAAGTACTTAGAAAGTGGCATAGAGGAATGGCAAGATTTTAAATGAGAACTTACCAAGCAGGAGTGAGTAGCCAATAGGAGAAAACACTCAAGCAAGTGGGACTGAATGTTATAATCCTCAGTGTGTATATATACTTACTAACTTCCCATTAGAGCATCCATGGCCATTGGAAAGCTCTCCAAAATCACAAATCTCTCATAAGAGCACTCAAATTATTTCACCAGGGCAAAACAATTTCTCTGGTAAGAGACTTTTCCATCACTATACTGATTTATTACTCAAGAAAATGGAAAAGTATAGTCATTCAGGCCTAGTTGAAGTGGACAAGTCTCTTTAGAATTCCAGCTCTATATAACTACTGATATTTAGTTTTAAGAAGTAAGCCTACTGGCCTGACTCAACAAGACTGCTAACATTCTGAACTGAACCTTTTCAGTAATTTAGAAATTGCTGGTACACAATTCTATTGCCAATCATGCCAAACACTTTCATCTGATACAACTTCATGTTCTGGTTATTTCAAAATACAATTTATAAATGTAAATATAAAATAAACATCAAAGGAGCCTGGGTGGCTCAGTCAGTTAATCATCCAACTTCGGCTCAGGTCATGATCTCTCTGTGAGTTTGAGTTCCACATTGGGCTTCCCACTGTCAGCATAAAGTCTGCTTCAGATCCTCTGTCCCCCTTTCCTTCTGCCCTTCCCTTGCTCTCTCTCTCTCAAATAAATAAACATTAAATAAAATAAAATACACATCACAAGTAAACAAAGTGGCTTCTTGTCCTACCTTTTTAACTATTGAGATTGTATGTTTTTAGCGGAAATTGGTAAGTTGTAAGAATCTCAAAGTTTGGCTTAGATTCCTTCTTCTTGTTCTTTTTTTTTTTTTTTTTTTTTTTTTTTATTTTAGCTGTTGGGCCCCCCCACAAAACGGGGGGGGGGGGGGGGGGGGGGGGGGGGGGGTGGGGAGAGAGAATGAATATCACGATCCTGGGATCCTGGGATCATGACCTGAGCCTAAAACAAGAGTCAGATGCTCAACTGATTGAGCCACCAAGGCGCCCCTTAAATTACTTCTCTGACAAAAATATATATCTCAAGACACTTTTTTTTTGAGACACTTTTAATTAATATTGTCACCTTAGGGATAAATACCTCGTTTAGGGATAAATATTCTCGTTTTCTATAACTCAGAAGAAAATCTCCCAATGGTTTCTTTCTTTTTCATGTTGAGGCACTTCTGAGTTAGTCTTGGGTGTGCTCTAGCCAACCTGGTAAATTTCATTGAGCTGCTTGTGCCCCTTTGTGGCCGGTGCTTACAATTACAGCTCAGTTTTGTTTGCCTTTGCGAAGCCTCTGAACTGTTGCTTCAGATGCATGAATAGTTGCCTCTGAAAGCTGGAAAGAACCACAGGAAAATGGGAAGAAAGCCAGCTAGAAGGTAGGGGCATATGGGCTGCACAAGAGGAGAGGATACCTGAGCAAGGACCAGATTCTGACTGAAAGCAGAAGGAGGTATGGATGCCAGGTTGGCATCAAACATGGCCACTACACATTACTGTAACTGTGTTGCCTCCCACACTAAAATACGATCAAGCCCCATGAAGGCAGAGACATCTTGCATGACACTCTGCAAAGATTGTTGAATGAGCAAATGGAGGAACAAATGGGTTTAGTCTATAGCAAGTTCACAGGGGAGAACAATTTTTCTTTCTATTGTCCTTTTGTTTTTTAAGTTTTATTTATTTAAGTAATCTCTATACCCAACATGGGGCTTGAACTCATGACCCTGAGGTCAAGAGTTCCATGCTCTTCCAACTGAGCCCGCCAGGTGCCCCTCTTTCTATTGTTAATTACTAGTACTAGATGCTTAGAAGGGAAAATGTTTTGACAATTCTGTTTAACAAAGCCCCATATGTCCAAGAGCATTTCTCAAACCTAGTATTTTATAGGCTTAGATTTATGTGTTCACTTGTTGTAATTAATAAATGTTATTTATTACATTCCAAGGGCACTTGGGCACTACATTCCAAGATCTGAAGATTTAAAAAATGTGAAAGACACAGTTCTAGCCCCCAGAAGAGAGCACATCAGATTATAGTGTTATCCTTTCCAATCCATTTTTCAAATTATAGGCAGAGTGATTTTTTTTTTAATTAAATCTGATTATGTCAGCCCCTTGGTTAAAATCCTTCATTGCTGAAAGGCTCTTTCAGTATTGGCCCCTGGCTTCCTTACAGGTCTCATCTGGAGCTCTTTTCCTCTCTGCATTCTTACCACATTTTCAGTTGCTGAACTTTAGATGCTCCTTCCTACGTCAACGCTGTTGGACATACTGTTCTCTCTACTTACAAAGCTATCCTCCCTTCTGGCCTAGATTACTCCTAACCAAATGCATGCATTACTCTAGAATGCAAAATGGGTTGAGTCCTGATATACCTTTGCAGGATACTCTGAACTGCTTTATCAAGATGAAAGCATTCATTATGTAATTGACTGTTTTTGTCTTCTGCTAAAATGTAAGCTTTAAAAAAAAAAAAAAAAGATTTTCTTTTTAAGCAATCTCTACACCCAACTTGGGGCTTGAACCCAGAACCCTGAGATCAAGAGATGAATTCTCAACAGACTGAGCCAGCCAGGCACCCCTAAAATGTAAGCTCCTGATGCTAGAGATGTTGTATCATGTTCAGTACAGTGCCTGGCACGTGGTAGGCACCTTCAAATATTTGTTGAATGAATGGACTATCAGGCTTGAAGTGGAAAAGGAGTCTAATGAATAATATGTTTTCTTGAGTGACACTAGATTTCTAGTTGCTACATTTCAGAACACCTGTGTGGTTTCTTAGAAGAGTGTGTTTCATAAAAGAGGAGGGAGGCAGATCAGGAAAGATAAGCAATCATCCAAAAAGTCAGTTCTCTCCAGGTGGAATCAATATGGAATGTCAGAAGCTTCATGGAAGACAGAAAAACTGGGGCGGCAAGACATACTGGCTTAAGATATATCATTCATTCATTCCCAAGTATTTCTAGAATTCCTATTATGTGCTTGGAACAGGAGTTAGAAATTCAAAGGTGGGCCAGTCTTACACACTTCTTGCCCTTAACAAATCTACAGCCTACTGAGAGACAAATACTCAGCGAAGTAATTTCCGTGAAGTGTTGCTAAAGAAGGTATGTACACCGGTGTCATGAAATACCTAATTAGGGGTGGGGGCCGGGGGAGAAGGAGAGGGATGGACAAAGGGACAAGGATGGGCGGTGAGGCGAGCCTTTTCGGTTTAAACTGAGACCTGAAAAATGAGGAGCCCTGAGGGTCTGCGGAACTGAAAGAAGTTCAACAGCTATGATTTGGAATCCCACCAAGAGTGTCAAGAGATCGAAGGGCACCTTGGTAGATTTGGCTTACAGCGACCCCGGTGTGAGGGGTCATCAGCCTGGTGAACATTCCCTGGGCACGAACGATAACGTTCTGCCTTTCCACATTCCAGCAGAGCTGGGCTTCCTTCAAATCATCCCTTAATCCCGCAGACTTCCACCAACTGCGGAGTGCTGGTGACCCGCAGACAACCTAACTCAACCGGAGACTGCGCGGAGGAGCTCCAGTCACAGCCAATTCCACCCCGGGAAGAGGTTCCAGAAACCCCACCCACGTCCAGGCACGTTTTCCTGGGCCGAGTCCCAGGGGCCGCCCGCGGCCGCCACGGTCACGTGACCCGAAGTGTGACGTAGGAGGAAGGAGACGCCATTAGAGGGAGGCGGAGAGGGAGTGCTCTTCGCCTTTCCTCGGGTGCCTGACGTGGTGGTTGGGGGGCCCTTCATTCTCGGACTTCCCTCGGCCCTTCCAGGCTTCGCCCGGAGGCGAGAGTGGAGACGGCGCCCCGGGTTGACGGGTCGGTGCGGAGGGGCCTGCGCCGGCCGCGGCTGTGAAGGCGCTGCGGCGGCTGTGGGGAGCTCGGCGCAGCTCTAGGGCTCGGGCGGCGGGGAAACGGGATGGCTGCGGCCGGCAGCGGAGGGGCGGCGGCGGGCAGAGCCTACTCATTCAAGGTGGTGCTGCTGGGGGAAGGCTGCGTGGGGAAGACGTCGCTGGTGCTGCGCTACTGCGAGAACAAGTTCAACGACAAGCACATCACCACTCTGCAGGTGCGGGCCCCAGGGAGCGGAAGGTGGAGCCTTGGGGCCCTTACCCCTCCGGGGCTGTGAGGACTTTGCTGCCGTGGTCCCTTGGATCTGGGCTTACAGATCTCAGGCCTGTCACCGTCGTCTTCGTTTCGGAATGCTTTTCTGAATGTGTCCTAGGGACACGCGGGGTCGGGGCATCCTGTAGACGTAAGGACAGGCTGTTGGGAAGGGAGTGGAAGGGCCCTGAAAAGTCCCCCGTGTGGCTGCGCATATTGTGGAGTCCCCATCGCTTGGCTAGTTTTCCCCTTTGATTCACTTCCGCTTGTGCCCTAGGTGCCTTCACCCTACAGTCACTGACTGCCCTTTTTCTTTCTTTCGGAATTAGGAACTTAGCTGCGGATTTTATTTTGCGAACCTAGGTGCTTTGTAACTTCAGCGCTTACTGATGACTAAGTGTTTACGCAAGTTCCATTTTGTCCTGGCTTCGAGTAACCTGCTGATTGGCGAAAGAGTCATCTTTGGAGGGTTTTTGAAATGACCGCTTGCGGGCGTGGGTTACGCAGTTTCCTTGCTGCCTGCATGGGTCTGACTTAAGGGGCAGTCATACTGTGAGGTCGGTCGACCCACATGCACTGGGAAACGTCATGTGAATACTAGCCAACAGTTGGTCCCCAAACTAACAGCTTCGTTGCTGCTGCTACTTACTTTCTTTGCTTGTAGCATAGGGCCGGCTTTCTTCTGCAGTTACCTTAAGGTTGGTAGGAAAAGTGTTAAAGTGTAATCATAGATTGGGAGTGAAGCCAGCCCTTTGAGGCAGTTGTAGCCTCCTCCCTCTTCCAAAGAAATCAGTTTGCACGTGTTAGAAAAAAAATATCCAACTGATCTAACTTTCTCAATTTAGTTACAGGTAGTAAAATCGAGTGTACTTTTTTTCCCTTATGTTTATTTATTTTTGAAAGAGACAGAGTGTGAGGGGGAAGAGAGAGGGAAACACAGAATCGCAAACAAGTTCCAGGCTCTGAGCTGTCCGCACAGAGCCTGACGCGGGGCTGGAACTCACAAGCGGTGAGTTCCTGCCTGAGCTGAAGTCAGATGCTTAACTGACTGAGCCACCCAGGCGCCCCATAAATCGAGCGTACTTTTGAGCCTGATTGTCCAGGTTCATATTCCACCTCCATCTATTTATCTGTGATCTCTTATCTATTTAGTATGTTCTTGGGCATGTTAATTAACCTGTTTGAGCCTAAGTTTCTTCGTCTGTTAAAATGGCCATAATAATAATACCTAGCTCATAAGGTTGTCAAGACAAGTATACGTAAAATCACTTAGGACTTGGTCTGTTGTAAGCTCTCCATCCTTATTACTGGCCCAAATTGCACAATAGACTTTCATTAGTGATTGTGTAGTGTGTAAGAACATTGACACTATTTAATAGAACACACAATCTCCTAATTGTTGTGACATTTGATATTTGATGCTATTATTAAACTACTGAGTCTAGAATTCACAAAGATGCCCTGATGATTCCATGTTCTATTTTTACTCCTGTTTTTACTCCTCTTAGGTAAAGCACAATATCTGAAAAAGTGAATGTCAGGAAACTCCTTTTTTTTTTCTTTGCATCCTTGTACAAGGGCACTTACACAATTTTAATAGTTATTGTTGAGTTTGCTAATGAAATCAAGGGAATTTGTAGGATAAATACCTATGATTATTTGGAACTTAGGAATTCATTTAGGTAAAGTAATAACAATAGTTAACATTCAGTGAATTCTTACTGTACCAAGTACTGTACTTTTCTTCTGTCATTTAATTCTTATTATAGCCTTTGAGGTGGTAGATAGTTTTATTAGCCCCATTTTGCAGGCAAAGAAACAGGCTTGGTTAAGTTGAATAATTTGCTGGGTGGTAGATAGTTTTATTAGCCCCATTTTGCAGGCAAAGAAATAGGCTTGGTTAAGTTGAATAATTTGCTGGCAGTCATTTTGCCATAAGTCATGCATGGTACCCAAGCTGAAATTTGAACCCAGGTCTGACTTCGGATTTTGAGCAAGTAAGTCACACTGCCTCTGGATATTGGTAAATCACCCCTTTAGTGGTTATCTTTGTGCTACAAATCTTACATAAAAGAGGAAATCATTATAATTGAGCCTCCCCCCTTAAGATAATTTAGTACTTCAACCCAAAAATCGCACCTTCATTATGCATTTCAAAAACATCCTTGAAGCTAAAAGCAGCCTAAAGGTTTTTAAATATTAGAGACCACTTCAACTATACTGGAGAGGATGAAGTTTATGGTAGATTTTCAGTATCAAAAACATAGCAGTCCTGATTTTAGTATTTATATAACTCTTATCATAAACAGTGTCTGGATTATATTGTAGAATTGAGGATTTTGTTGCATACCAATGTGTGGACGCAGTATTTAATCTCTTTCTCTTACATATCAGTTCCTCTCATTTTAATTTTTTTAGAGAATTGTGACCTATTAAATAACAACCATGTATAATTTTAATTTCTAAATGGAGAGGAGATCATGCATCAGAACATCAGAAGACAACAGAGGAAGAGTCCCTCTTTTTTTCTCAACAGAACTACCTACTACCTATCTTTTGACATACTTTGTGTTTTGCAAGGTACACTATCTTCCAATCATGTTCAAACAGTTATGAGACCAAGGAAACCTAAGGTAGTTTGTGGTTCACTGTTTCAGTCTTTTGTTTAATATTTCAGTCAAGTGATTGTTCACTCTTGTCTGAACATCTTGGAGGTGAGGTGAACTGGTACAGAAAGTGGGAAACTTACTATGTCCTAAGATGGCCCATTTCATTTTTGGACAGTTTTAATTTTCAATAAATTTTTCTGTGTATAAAGCCAAAATCTGTTTTCCTTGTAGTTTCCAGTTCTGTCCTCTGTATCTTGATCACATAAGATATCCCTTCTGATAGTTAAGGACAGCTGTCATATCCCTTGGTCTTATCTTTTGGGTAAACAGCTCTGGTTCCTTTAAAGGAATCTCTTATGACATCTTTCTAAACCATTTCACTATTTAATCATTGTCCTCTTTCCTTAAAATGTGATTCTTTGAGCTGTAGAAATGATTCCAAGTGTGCTTTGAATTTAGTAAAGTACAGGCTATCACCTTCCCTATTGAGAATCCTTTTCCAACACTGAAATAGAAAAGATTCTATGTGCTTGTGGACAGCTGCTACATTTATTAATATTGGGCTTGCTGTCTTAATCCCCCTCCCCAAAAAGGCATTACATCCCTCAAAATCTTTTTTCTTTTATAGCTTTTTTTTTTTTTTTTTTGGTCCCTAAGGTATTTGAACCATTAAAATAGGCTTTGATAAATTTACTCCAGTGGTCAAAGGCTGTTAATGTCCTTCTAAAGTTTGATTTTAAGTTCAAGAAACATTGAGCTCCTGTGGGTCAGATACTTGGTTGGGTTCTGGGCATGCAAAGAAAAAGAAGGTTATGTTCCCTACTGTCTGGGTTAACTACTCATTTTAGCTTTGTCACCTGAAGATTTGCTAAGAATGTCTTCATTGTTTTCATCAGGTCATTAATAAAGACTTTGAAAAGTGGAGACAGAGGGAACGAGAGACAAAGCTCTGCGGCAGGTCTCATTATAGTCCAGTGATGTGTGACCAGAGATGTATTTTTCTTTAGTTGTGCAGTCTTAGGGTGGGGCTTTTTCAGACTATGCTTGAGCCATAGTCTTTCTCTTTGAGTGAGAGACAGTTACTGGTGGAGTGTTGTACATATTAATGATAATGGAAACAGAAAACAGCCTGAGATTTACTGTTATGGGCTATTAACTAGTGGGTACAAAGCCTTTAATGAAAATGTTCTTCCAGCATTATAAATCTAGCTTTTTGCCCTAGCTACATCAGTCTTGCCCACAGGGGATATCATGAGATGCTTTGTCAAATGCTTGCAGAAGACAAGATACACTGTGTTTCTGCATTAGGAAGCCATATGATGTGGTAAAAAGGGACAGGATTTTGAAGTTAGACTTGGTTTCATATTTTGGCTCCTACTTCATAAGCCTTTATGATCTTGGCAGGTTATTCTAACGTTTGTAAGCTGGCTCTTGATCTATAATATGGGAGAATCTTACTTATAGGGTTTTTTTTTTTTAGTTTAGTTTGTTTTTTTTTTTAAGATTTTATTTTTAGGTAATCACTACACCCACTATGGGGCTTGAACTTACAGTCCCGACATCAAGAGTCAGTGCTTACTGAACAAGCCAGCCAGGTGCCCCTTTACTTATAGGATTTTTATGTCAGCCATCATAGGTAAACCTCTATCACAGTGCCTGGCACATGTTTGTTTTATAAATGTTTGCTATTGAATGAATAGATGGTGCTTAATTTGTGTTGGTTTCTTTTGTGGTAAATCAGTGAAAAAGGTAATGGAATTAGTTTGGCATGAATTATTCTGAGAACCCATGCTGTCTCTGAAAGATCACTACATTGTCTTTTAAAATTGTTTATAATTTTATACTTAATACAATCATATATATGTACACATATATATGTTATGCTTTATATACATTTATTATTACTATACATATACATATATATTTGCTTATTCATTCTAGAGTTTTGGCTGGGATTGGCTTTTCTGGAAATTAACTTCTTTCTACAAAATTGTGACATTGGCCATGCTTTAATGTTTTAGCACTGCTCCCTTTTTTGCAGGGCTCCTCCTAGGTTACTAATAATTAAGACATAGTCTTGTAGGTGAGCTAAGAACTCAAAATCTTTTACCTAGCTCAGGAAACTTGATCTTATATAGAGTCCCCAAGCTCTCTTACATGATTAACCTAAGCAATTAAAGTCAATGATTATTTCATACATGTTAAATATCAAACATTGTAATAGCTGGGGAATATAAAGATTAAGGTACTTCGACCATCATTTAGCTTTCTTGATTTTATTCTTAAATGTTTGTGCCATTTTGATTGTAACTACCTTTTTTCTTTGGTATGTCTTTTTATGTCTGTGCTCTTGGGT